CTTCTTTGAAGCTACTCCCTTCCTACCCCATTCTATCTCATCCTCAGGCAACCACTGAACTGCTTTTCGTCACTATAGACCAGTTTGTACTTTCTATAATTTTATATAAATGAAATCATATGGTATATACTTTTCTTTGGCTTCTTTTACTCAGCATCATTCTGCTGAGAGTCATCCACGTTGTTATGTGTAACCTGCCTCATCTTGTACCAACTTCTCTCTACAGTCATGGGCTCTCAGCTTTTCCCAACAGCCATTGCCTCCCAGTCCCCTGCAAGTGTTTTTGCCCTTTTAGCAGAAGCAGGGTAATCTAATGAAAGGACTCAGAAAACTGGTTTAATTTACCCATTCGTTCCAAAAGTATTCATTGAGCAACTATTACATATACCAAGTACTCTGCTAATCACCCAGGGATACACAACCAAGACAAATACCCAGCTCAATTACTTGAGTTGCAATAAATATTTGCTGAATGAATGAAGGGAATTTGAGGATCTCCACCTAACACTAACTACTGCAGCAGCAGGTGAAACGAAACGAGTAGAATGAGAAGTCCTGGCTTGCAGTCACCGTTCTGCAAGATATCACGTAGGCAAATTCCTCAACCTCTCTCACTGGTTAAATAAGAGTAATCTTTGCTCTACCTCAATGGGTTATTTTGAAGATTGAATGAGATAATAATGTCTGTAACTACATTCTGTAAAATGCAAACCAACACGTGAATGTGAAAGTTTATTACTAGGGGTTTAGCCAACCATGAGGGAATGGGTAAGCATAGGAGCTATCATCCTTTTTTTGCAAGCCTACCATTTCCAATTTTGTGCTAAATGCTTTTTAAAATTATCTAATTTTATCTTTGCAACAACTCTGCATAAGGGTAAGTGTCCCCACCTTAAAACTGAGGAGTAACTTCTCCAAAAAGAAAGAGCTAGTAAATGGAACAGGAGGAATTTGAATTGGTGTCTGTTTGGCTCCAATGACACAGCACATGTGTATGTGTTGTGGGCAGCTACTAGAGAAGTTATTTCCCTCTGTCTCAACCCCGATCTTCTGATTTACTTTCTTATAGCTGACTAGAACCATATTTTTCAGCAGTACAACATAGCTTGTACCTGAAAAGCCAAATACCCATTAAAGAGGCAAGAATTTAAAACTTCTAAAGCTAATAAATCCAGGGGTGGATTTTTTATTTTATTTTATTTTTCGTAAACCATCCAGAAAGACATTTTAAACATTACTGAAGGCTCTCATTGGATTTCATAAAACCAGACTACCAGGAGTTGGAAGGGACACCCTTGGGTCTGGGGACATCAATGTGCCTGGCACTTGCTGGGATGGAGCACTCATCGCTCCTCAAGGGCACCCAAGATACACTTGTTCATTCACTAATTCCATTAAATATATTACCTAATATGTGACAGAGCTCTTGTGTGAAGGGCTAGAGAGATGAATCTATATGAAATATAGTTTTAGGCCTCAAGAAGCTGCATATACTAAGACTCTAACTTCCTGTCAATTACAATGGTCTTAACCCATGTACTGATTTACAGAAATTCAGTTTCTAACACAGTTTTTCATGTGCTTTCACCAAGAGAATAAATTACTTCCTTCAACTCTTTATTTCAATTTAATAAATCTTAGGGATTTTTTTTCTTGCTTTCTAAAGCACAAAGACCCACTGACATCCACTTATTAAAATTAATCCCACAGTTAACCTTCTTGAAGAAAGGAACTTTTTGGTGAGTCTACCATGGATAAGCCCGTTTTGAGTATCATGTGGGGGTATAAACAAGAGAGTAGGCTTTAACCACTTTGAAGGACTGGATCTTTATATATGCCCAGTTCTATTAAGTACTAAAAGAGTAATCCTGGCAGTAGCTGCTGGAAGATTAGAAGAAGTGGTCATGAGCTTGGGGATGTCAGGGAGATGGAACTTGGAGTTGTGTTGGATTTGGCCAAATGGCAGGTGAAAGGTATTCCAAGCAAGGGGAAGATGCTGAGCAAGAACAGGAGAAGCATGAAGCCACCTGGCTCAGCAGAGGGTTGGTGAAGAGAAGGTGAAAGCTGGGCTAGAGCCCCCTGAATCATCCTTCAGGCAACTGGAGGCTTCCGAAGGTTTCCGTGGAGAAACAATGCAATAAAATGCATGTTCTAGCATTGAGTAGAATGATAGGAGCAAGCATGTAGGATGGGTTCTGCAATGACTTCAGTGTGCTGAAGACCGTCCACTGGCTTCTGAACAAGTAGTTGCAGTTCCTTTTTAAAATAATTTTATTGCCAAGAAATATAAATACCACTGCAGTTTCGGCACAAAAACACAACATTGTGTGTTGTTTCTCCTGCTGTTTTATACAAAATTCTCAAAACTGAGCCTTGTTACACTGGTATCACCCCGGCTTCTGATTGAAAATAAATGTTCTAGATACACAGTGAGGGGCCAACAAGTGCTTGTTCAACCTATTGAGGAGTTTGCTTTTCAAGCAAAGTAGGGAGACAGATGAGGAACTTGACAAATGACTCCTCCCCTTGGGAGAGGCCCAGTGCAAGAAGATCCTTGTTTCCCGGAGGCAGATCTAAATTCTAGTCCTAGCTCACCACCTTCAGGCAAGTTGCTCTACTTCCCTGGGGCTCCATTTCCTCATTTTGTAAAACGAGATCAAATTCTACATTCTGAGTTCAGACGGATCTGTGTTTTGCCACTTGTATGATCTCTGAGCTTCAGTCTCCCCATCTCTGAAATGTAGATAACAGTAATGTCTCACTAGGTTGTTGTAAAGATTAAAAAGGAGATAATGTGTGTGAAATGTTAGCACACCAATCCATAGAAAACACCCCATGAATGTTAGTAACTCTGATTTCCAGTTCTCGAATTCTGTGATCCAAGCTGCTCCACGAGCAGTGATCTTGTATGGAAAGGTGTAATATGGCACACCTGAATAATTCTGGATCTATTCAGCTTGTGGAAGACCTAAAGGAGACCTAAGAACAATCTTCAAACACTTAGAAAACTGTCATGTAGAAGAGAAAAACTATTTCTTTCTATGCTTCTCCAAAGAATTTACCTAGGTGATGCTGTGTAAATTGCTAACAATTTGAACTGTCTGCAAAATGGAATGAGCTTCTTCATATGGGAGTGAGTCCATTCGTCTCTGGACATGTTCAAACAAAAGCCCGATGACTATTTAGCAATGATCCAAATACAAAGCTATACGAGATCTAAGAGCTCTTCCAATTCAGAAATGGAAAGAATGAAAGAACCTCCAAGGGCTTTGTGATGAGACATTTTGGTCAATGTAAATTTCAAAACATCAAGCCAGAATCAGTTATGTGTATAAATTTTAAGAGTGTAAGGGTTCGTCTGTAATAAAAATGTTTGCTTTGCTTTTACAGTTTCCTCATTTGGCTGTTGGATTTTAAGCAAAAGCATCCAAGAACAACATGCCTGTTCCAAAATGAGAGAGCTTCCTTTTACTGTTGCCTACCCTTTTTTTGCATGTGACACACTCATTACAGCAAAGTCTCCTTATGCATAATGAAACAAGGTCAGAGATAAATTTGATGTTTAAAAGTCTTAAGTGGCAACTTCGTAACACTTCTAAATAAATGTTTGGTCTCATTAAAAATGATGCTATATTTTCTTGGGTGAAGACACATAATTAAGTTTTTGGTTAAACTTTGTTGAAAAGTCTTATTCTTTTTCATACTTAATAAAACATGCTACCAGCAGAGCAGATGATAAAAAATGGGGAAAAATTAAGAACTCATTTATATTTAGTCCTTGCAAACATTATGCTTTTTATTCCAGCAGTTGTCAGGTAGTTCTTACTCCCTGAGCACATTCTGATCTGAATTTAACTGTGGTGAAAAATGTCATGGTCAGTTGTGGAGATGCATTGCTTCGAGAGTAAAAAACTACTTCTATGACCTTGAGGAAATTATTTAAATTTCCACGATCTGGGTTCTTTCATCTGTAAAAAGGTGAATTTTAATCTGAGATCCCCTCCAATTCTCGCATCTCAGGGATCGAAAAGCTAACTATGGCTGATTTGCTGTGGGATGGTAGCAATAGAGTCATTTCTTTGAGTAGTGTCTTGGTGACCAGGCCATATTCAAAACATACATACTGGGAGAGAACTATGGCTGACATGGAAGAGAGTACCACAGATTTAAATCATCTGAGAGATATTTTGTGTTTAATGAAGGGCTAATTGTAGCAACTTTTATGAATGAAAACATGTCAAGCTGTAGTTCTGAAGAACATGTACCCCACAGTTAGCTAGTTCATTAAAAAAAAAATTCTTATTTTGCCAAGGTGGGGAGCTTGGGGATAACAGGGTTCAAAGAGGAACGGACTGAGAATTCCCAGGAGTTAATGTTTGTAATTATAAGTGACCTCGCTGGTCTATTTTGATCTTAGTGGTTCAGTACAGAGATACAACGAAATATGGAATCCAATTTATTATCAAACACCAAAACAACAAAATTCGTCACCCGAGTAAGGGCTAGTGTCAAGGCCCTATCCTTTTCCTCTTTCCTTCAATGGTAGGTGTGGAGTGACTGTGCATCTCACTAGAATCGTGTGAATAGCTGAGTTATTACCAGCCCCCTCCCCCACCCCACTGAATCAGTGGCACAGAAGGGACACTTGTGAGGAGCCTGGTGGCTGGATCAGGAGCCGCTCTCACCTCTTAGGAGACCCTTAATAGCTACTTACACTGAAATGTTCACAGAATTTTTGGCAAAACTGTATAAACCAAACAAAAGTATAGTGAGAAAGAATCCTGACCACCGAATAGTTTTTAAAAACAAGAAAATTTTATATTTTACTTAACATTTGACACAGAAGAGGCCACATTTAAATAAACACATTATATCTTCAAAGCATTTTAATTGTATTGTGGACCTTGGATATGACAAATACTCATATAAGATGGTCCATAACTTCTTTTGAAATTTATTTTTATTTTTACAAATTATACCATGATAAAACTTCATAAAAATTACTCACATGAAATATTCCTTTTTAATCTTTTATAAGTTAATCAAATGCATACCACAAGTGTTTTTTTTGTTGTTGTTTAAATAGGGAGTTCTCATGATTTTAGTATTACACAAATTTAAGCCGAGACTGTACTCAGAAATACGTTTAGAAAATGGCATCACAAAAGACTGGGAGTGAGTAGGGAAAAACAACAACGCCAACAAAGAAACCCATGCAGGGCTGCTGTACAGGAGCAGTGAATCAGGTGCTTTCACTGCCATAAGTCTTCGGTGCGGCCAAACTTAAACACCAGTCCTCTGCGAATAAAACGAGAAACACCACATGACTAGCTAAGTTGGGGAAAAGAAAGAACAGGTGAGATGTAGAATTGTGGGAAACCAGCAACAACGAACTGATGAGTTGCATGAAAAAACCATGGGATGTATCAGAACAGAAGCTAATCATTCTAAGGTAGTAAATTCTTCCACTGTGCTCAGCTGTACTATTTATCAACGGCTTCCCCACATCTTTAACTACGAGTATTGGAGACATATCTCACTATTAAAAAGTTAACCAATGCTTAGTATGTAATAATTATATGTCTGATTTTATCAAATTCATTCAACAAACTTTTCTGAGTGTTGAGGTGCTAGGTGCTACATGCTAGGGCAATGAAGATAAATAAGATATATAGTCTCTGTCCTCAAGTTGCTCTCATTCTTGATGACACAATGTGGTAAGTATTAGGGGGAAAAAGGAGGTATATACACCAAATGTTAAGGGAGCATAGAAACAAACATATAGAATTTATTCTGCCTCAATATGTTAGAAAACGATTTACAGAGGTGGTAACGTTAGACAAACTTTGAAGGATAAGCAGGAGTCTGAATGGGAGGTTCGGAGGTCCAGGAGCTAATGAAATGATGAAGGAAGATGTTTCAGGAAGAGAATACAGTACACCAAAAGGCAAAGAGGAATAAAAGACCACTCGGCCTCAGGAAAAGTCCAGGAGATCAACGTGTCAGGAATATGCCCTCACAGAGATTACAGTCCAGGGTTTCGGAGCAGCAGTGTCTACAGTTGTCCTTCAGCCTTCAGTTTAAGAAGGGCAAGAGGGCAATTATATGCATAGGAAGATATATATGTATATATCTATATCTCTATAGATACAGACACAGAGATCTGAAGTGTAGAAGAACAGGGCAGAGTCCAACACGGCTAGATTAGTTTAAGAGACAGGAGGATAAGGAAGAGAAGTGGCCGAGATTTGCTAAGCCAATTGCCCAGGGTGGCACACTGCCTACAGGGAGGGACCTTAGGTGCCTGATATGTGCCAAGAAGGCAGGTGTCAGCCTGTATGCTCTACTAAAGGGGGCAACTGGTAATCAGTCCCAGACTGAAGTGGTGCTATGCAGAAATGCACTCCCTACATTAAAGGAACAACTACTGAGCTTGTTGATTGTTGCTGTGTGGAACCCAGGGTTGTCAGATCTCCCAGTTAAAAAAAAAAAAAAAAAAGCCCAAAATCCAGATTTTTATATAAAATCTCTTGATTTTTAAATGTCAGCTCAAAAAATACTGTATGGGCTAAATAAAACAGAACTGTGGGCAGAATTTGGCTGGATGGCCACTAGTGGTGATCTCTTTTGTAGACAGACAGCTCTGAGTTCTGAAAAATGGAGTAGATGGAAAATGGTAGGATTATAGCTGTATTTTAGAAGGAAAATTAATGAAGGAAAACTGGATCTGAGGGAGGAACCAGTTAGAAATACCAACTGCTCAAGAAGGGATGATGTGGACTGAATAGTGGAAATGGACAAAAAAAGACAATTCAGATGCAGATTCAACAAGGCCTGGATGTGTGGGTTAAGTGGGAGGGAGAAATTGAAGACAGAAGTAGACATTTCAGTGGCATGTGCTGGTTTTCATTTTGTTTTCCTATCTGTTTTCCAATTACTGGTGTATACTCCAGGTTAAGTCTGCAATCATAATGATCAATTTAGAACAGATTTCATAGGCCTTTATAAAGGCAAACATGGAGTGTTTTTGATGAAAACAAAAATGTAACCAAGAAGTCAGTTATAGTCTCTCTTGCAAGTATATTAATTTCTTTTCTATAAATGATTTCATAAACCTCCAAAAGGTAATTAGATCTCTGCTCTTCCAGTTAATATCAGACCTGCTGCTACAAAAAAGAAAACCCAAGGTAGTTATGAGGGGCCTCTACTCTCCAGATAGCTTACAAGAGACATAGTAACTTTGGAACACTAGCCAACGGATGTAAACTGTAAAAAGAAGTTTCTTGGGCAAGAGCCAGTCCCCTCCTACAGCCAGACGGTCACCTTACTGATATCTGTTTCTTATTTCTGAAATGGTAATTTATAAGCTGTTGGTGAGTATTGTTCTGTTATATCAGAATGGTAGGCAATCTCATACAACTATTCTGATAATGGTGTCCCCGAGCTGAATTTAATTTCAATTTGCTTACAGTATATTCACAAAACCTGATTCGTTTTTAGACTTAATAGGTACAATAGTAACAGATAAGAAATTAGCCAAACTTGCATGTAAAAGTAATTTATTATAACTAATTTGAGATGGTAACAAGTCAAGGTCTGGTTTCCAAGGTTTTGTGAAACGCGATAACTACTGAAAGAATTTATGTGTTTCTGCCCTCCTTGGAAGAGATAAAATTTTCCCACAAATCCTCCTCTCAATCCTCTGTTCCTCCCTGCTGTAACAGTAACTTCTCTGGCAAAAGCAGCCTCTCAAGGTGGAACTTACTTTACCTTTTACAATAGAGGGCTGCTGCTTGCCCCTCTCAGTAAATCCCCACACCAGTCCATCGTGAAGCCTTTCTTACCCCTGCCTCTGACCCTGTTATACTACCTTCTTTGGCTGAAGTTGTGGGGCACAGAGTTCCCCTGACCACCTCTAACCCTGTGGAGATACTGGAGTAGTGAGCTCAGGATGCCTGGTCCTTCTTTAAAGATGCTCAAGCCTCAGCACTGCAGCTTGAAAGGAAAAGAAATCCTAAATATCAACACTGTCCCTCTCATAAACCCATACTACATTACTCTACAAAGTAACAAACTCACCCAAATTTTATTTCATAAGTTGGGGAGTGAATTTTACTCATTTTGTATTTTTCAAGTACACTGTTAAAATCTTTTTTTTTTTTTAAAGAGAAACAACTAATATCAAAAAACTGGTTGAAGACTCAGCAAAGAAAGAAAAATATCAATTGAATTCATCCTAAATTTCATCATCATAGTGGCTAGAGCCTGAACGCTGGAGTCAGACAGCCAGAATTTTAGCCACATGATCTCAAACGAGTTACCTAACTTCTCTGTAACTGCTTTCTCACAGATAAAATGGGGATGATAATAACAGAGCCACCTTCAGAAATGTTCTGGGGATTAACTGAGAACTTACATGTAAAATACTAAGAATAGTCTCTTACACATGATAATGGCTTAAGAAACTTTGGTCATTATTTTCTGTATAAAATCAATAGCTTAAAAAAAAATTTTTTTTTTAAACTCTTTGGGTTTTCTCCACTAGTTTTGGGACACAAGATATGACCCAAAGAGGTTGTGTATCTTGCCACATCTAAGTTCACATTTTCCTTATTCCCAAATTTTATAAAATTGCAAAAATGCCTGGTGGTGAAATGAAGTAAGTGTAAACACCAACTACTGACTATTACTGAAGGGCAACTATTTGTGTTTCATGAGTGGTTCAAGTAGACACGGGGCATCTAGCTCCTTTTTGGGGATGGGTGGGAAGCGACAGGGAAAGAAAAGTCCTAGAATAGACTGTCCTAAAATCGTACAGCAGTTTTTTAAAACTTTTTTGGATTAGAGACTTCTTGGAAAATCTCTTTCCAGAAATAAGCAGAAATACCAACATCTTGCACATGGAAATGGCTGGTGGTTCCCTGTCATCAGAAGCCTACCTGTGGAATGAAGGCTAAGAACTCCTGATGCAAAGGATTAAGAGAAATTTGTTTTTTGGGTTTCTTTTGGGGGGGGGGCGTGGAAGGGGTAGGGGAAAGAGCAGTCTTTAAATGTCCAGGAAAGAATAAACATTAGAGAAGGTTATTGATAAAAGATTAAAGTTTTTAGGGATTTTATTAATCTTTTAATTTACCACTGTATCAGAAGGATAAAAAATATTAGGGCTTTTCCTCCACACCTCAAATCTCATGCACAAATTCTAACATAAGACCAAGGACAGAAAGAACTATAAAATGTACCCAGAAACAAAATTTTAAGGAGAAATAGTATTAAGCCAGCTCTCGTTAAGAGCAACTGTTAGAGATACCAATTTAAAATGAGCATTGTCAGTGTTACATAACTAAATCTACATGAATTACAGTTCTTCATTAAAGGGGATGTGGTGGCAATATTTAAAATGAATGTATGTTCCCAAGGTCGGCAGCAAACCAATCTAGGCAAAAAAAAAAAAAAAAAAAAAAATCTCTCATTCTTCATACTTTATGACAGTAACATGATGGAGGAGGACCGGATGGGTAACTTAAGCAACTAAATATTGTAAATGACATAAACTATTACAAAAAAAAAAAAAACAATTTAAAAAGTTAGAATGAAGAATGCAAAACAAACTTACCCAAAAAAGATGAAGGCATTTTGGAAAAATACAGCAATTCCAGGGTATACTATGGCTTTTTCTGTAAAAAATAATGGGACTATTTAAAGGTTTATCACCTTAAAACATTTAGTTTCTAATATATTGAATATCAGTTTTCCTGCCTAACATAATTGATTTCCTGGTAACTATGGTTGGTTTGAGTATTAAATGACATAATACATTTGACAGAGTCTAGCCGTGGTTTAGTAAATGATAGCTCCTTTCATTCATTTAACAAATATTTACTGAGTGCATACTAAGTTCAGCACTGTTTAATGTCCTGAAGATACAGCAGAGAATAAAACAGGCAAAGTTCGCCTTCACGGAGCTAGATGATATAGAGAATAAATAAGAGGAATAAATAAAGCAGGAAAGGTACAGGAAGTGCAGTGAATGACGACATTTTATAAAGATAGACAGACGACCTCATAAGGAGGTGACACTGGGGTAAGGACAGGAAGGAAGACTGGGCAGGGGCATGCAGAAGCAGCAGGACAGCAAGTGCAAAAGCCTTGAGGAAAGAGAACCCTGGTACATCAGAGGCATGGTCATGTGGGCAAAAGGGAAAAAAGCAGGAGACAGATGAAGAAATATGAGGGGCAGGCTGCTGGGTGAAGATCCTACAGAGCTGTGCAGTTACGGTGAAGGCTTTGATTTTATCCTGAGTGAGATGATAAGCCACCGGAGGTTTTGAGCAGAAAAAGACATGAGCTGACATATTTTAATGGGATCCCTCTGACTGTGCTGAGAGTAGACTACAAGGGGGAAGGGGAACAATAGAAACCAGTGGGGAGGCTATTTCAGGAAATCAGATAAGAGACTAATGGACTGAACCAGAGTGGAAGCAATTGAAATAGTAAAAAGAGGTTGGATTTGAGATATGTTAACAGCAGGGTCAACAGGATTTACTGATGGACTGGATGTGGAATATGAGAAGAGAGGTGTCATCATTGACAGGCCTTAACCACCTAGGGTTTTTGGCCTAAACATCTAGAGAGATAAAGTGGCCATTACCTGAGATGGGCAAGTCCGTTCTGATTTTATCCTGAACTAAAGCTGAAATTCTAGTATTAGCTATGTCAACAATTACTAACTGATGAACTGAGGCATTATGAATAGATGAACTGTCAACTTTTTCTCAGAATAGCTTTAATCTGGTGTTCACTGTCACAGCTGGTTTGTATTAGACCTTCCCTGTTAGAAGGTCACATTAAATAACTATTATCACTAGAATGGCTCATAAAGATCCTGTAGAAAGGCAACTTTATAAAATCACAGATTTGCTGCTAATAATCTCAAAACATCACCTGGCTCCAGAAGACTTCTGGAAAATAATTTAAAATTCTATGAGATGAACACATTCCTACAAAAAGGGGCTTTATATTAATAGTCATATTTGGGAAAGAAGAATGATCAGTAATTTTATTTTCTTCTTTAAGCTCTTTTATAGTCTCAGTTTTATAAAAATGACAAGTTATTAACACAATTCAAATAATAAAAAAGTGATTTGCTTTTTTTAAAATATGATGGTGACAAAGATTTTGTAGCAGGACGAGAATTACTTATGATATCATGTTAAATGAAAAAAGCTGGGCTCAAAATTGTATTTGTAACTATGACTATAACTACATAAAAACAGAAGAGACCAAAGGAAACACACCAAATATATAAAAGCACTAAGATTATTATAGTTTCTTTTACATTTCTTTCTTTTCTACATTTTTGGTTACATTGCTTGAAAAAATATAAATATTTTAAAATGCCTATCATTTCTGTCTATAATATTTAAGTGATTTTAATAAAAATTCAACAAACCCATGACTTTAACCCAAGAATTACATTTTAATCAAAGAAGTAAACAGTTAAAATGTGAGCTAGGTTAGTTTCTGCTGGTCCAGTTTTTGCAAATCATTAATATTGTATTTTTGCTATGATAAGCATAGTCTATTTTGCTTGGAACAGTAAGTGGTTTTCATATTTTTCTGGTGCCTCTCGGGTCCAACTTTCAGCCAAGGATCTAAGAGCAGGACCTTTTCTTGAGTTTGCCTTAAACTGGCCTTATATAGCAGAAGCACATTAAACGTTAATTTACTTTCCTATCTAAAAGGAGATGATTTCATATTATCAGGAAGGCTTAGCTTAATAAATTTCAATTCTAGGATGTTAGAGTTTTGCATGGATATTATTCAGGAAGTCAAAACTTGCAAAATAGTAGAAAACATATCTATTCTGTTTTTGAGGTTTTTGGAAGCCAAAGAGGAGCAAGGTTTGGAGCTGGGTCTCATTCTTCCCAGGCTCTAGATCAGAAGAAAAAATACAGAAGAAAGAGATACTAAAAACATACCAAACAAACAAAATAAAATACTGATGGGAGAGGGGAGTTTCCAGGTATAAATGCATTGCTAATAGTTGGCCTATCTATATGAAAGAAAGTTTAGTCCAAAATAACCAATTTTAATGCACAATTTCAGTATTCCATTGAAGTAAAAGGTAAGCTGTATTTTCTCTTACCTTTAGCAACATAACCTCCAAAGAGAATCCACATAGACGCAATCAGAGAACCAAAGGCCAACATGAAACCAATGAACAGCCAAATGCGAGCGCCTTAAAGGAAATAAAATTTTACCTGAATTGTTCTCATATGAAGACAGTCAGTTCAATTAACTTTTCAGAAAAAAAAGAAAAACCCAAACAGAAAAAAACGTGTAATTGTTTTTAGTCTAAAATAAGAATGGAAGACGTGTTGAGTATCTTCTAACAGTGAAAATGGTGGCCTTTTCCTTGTTGGTCTGTGTATTTGAAGTGACTATGTTTACTTTCCCTAAATATGAATACCGAAAAAAAACCCAAACTTTCCTCAACTGTGCAATGAAAATCTCACAAAATATACTGCACCATATTTAGAGGCTCATTCTCTCTATATTTTTAGAAATAGTGCTCCAAAATTTCAAGTTCTCCAAGAGAATGTTCAATCAAAAACACAGGTATACTTAACAAAAAATTCATATTCAGCGATATGTGAATCTAAACACTATCATATTTCACTTTCATGGAAATCAAGCAGCAAAATAAATTTAAATTTACCGTGGCTGGCGCTTAGAAAAGCTGCATTAAAATTATTTAGGAGAGGAAGACAATCAACTTTTAAATCACATTTATATAATATTTATGCAGATTTGCTATAAAATAAATGGTGTCATTAGACTGCCTAAAATGAATTCTGAGATGTTTAGCACAAATGAATTTTAATAAAAACACTGCTCTGTTCAATAAAGCACAGCAAAAAAATTATATATAAATTTTTGATTTTGTCTCCAAAATATAAAACAGTAATTATGAAATAATAAGCTGTTACTCATAGATGTGACAGTAAAACAAATACGAACTGGCTCTGGACCCCCAAAACTTAATGCTAGCTAACGAATTTTATTTAGAGATATGAATTTTAATAAAAACACTGCTCCGTTCAATAAAGCACAGCAAATAAATTTTATATAAATTTTTGATTTTGTCTCCAAAATATAAAACAGTAATTATGAAATAATAAGCTGTTACTCATAGATGTGACAGTAAAACAAATACGAACTGGCTCTGGACCCCCAAAACTTAATGCTAGCTAACGAATTTTATTTAGAGATATGATGGCCATATTCTAGTCCTAGCTCTAATTATTATTGTCTTATTATTGTCAACACTAACTGCTAACATTCACCTATTCCTCTGCGGTAGATCAGTGTTTCTGTATCTCTTCTACTTAAGTTCATCTATGAAGAGGGTGAACCAAGGAGAATCTGAAAACATCGACCAGAGCTGACTAGTGGTTTCTCTTGTTTTATTAAAAAAAAAAAAAAAAAGTCGCTTTTAATTTGCCTATGTCAAGTTTACTTTTGTATGGATGTAGTATTTCAGGTTTACCATTTAAATTGCTTAATAACTATTTGTCCACCAGGAAGCTGGGCCACACGTGTCCTGTATTCTTCCTACCTCAGGAACACAGCAATGAAGTCCAAGGGACATGAGTTCCTCAGTTGAAAAGGAAGGGCCTGGGTGAATCTATGCGCTAAAATTCTATTATTATATTTATTTCTGCAAGATGAAAAGAGTTCTGGAGGTCGGCTGTACAACAATGTGAATGTAGTTAATACTACTGAACTGTACACTTAAAAATAGTTAAGATGGTACACTTTATATTGTGTATTTTACAACTCACAAAAAACTATGATTCTAAACTATTTCAAAATGCTAATTTAATCAAATGAGGTTGGGAAAAAAGGGAAGAAAAGAATTTATATGGTATAGCTAAAAGTACTATAAGTTCTACTTCACACATGTATTCTTTATTAGACTGTTCTTTACTGTATACTGTACACATTTATATCTACACATACTCAAAACTGCATATTCTGTACCATAAAGCCAACTTAGACCAACTGCAACTTTTATCTTATGCCTTGGAACCTATAACCTCCTCTCTAGAAACACCTCCATCCTAACCCTGATCTGAAAGAGTTAAACAAGTGGCCTTTCCATGTATAATTCTCACTTTAAGAATGCAGCATAATAGTAAGATATTGCTTACCATATAGTAAGATATCTATTTACCTGTTTGACCCAGGCAACCTTCACTGTAACTGTCACCTCGGACTTGCCCATTTGACACTGCATTAATCCTGTACGAATAAAATAAAATCAAGAAATCAGGGTCTTTGACTCCAAAAGGAGACTATCCATGACATCAAGTTACCAGATACAATAAACTAAGAGTTCCTCAAATTAAGGTCAGGTCTCATGAGTCTTGAGTAATGGGCTCATAGTAACTTACTCAAGTTCCTTCAATCAGATACCCTTTAAAGCAGTGGTCACAGTCCCAAGACCAGGAGAATCAGCATCATCTGGGAACTCATTAGAAAGAAAATTCTCTGGCCCCACCCAAACTTACGGAAGCAAAAACTCTGGGTATGGGGTTCAGCAACTTGAGTTTTAACAAGTTCTTTAGGTGATTCTGATGCCTGTTAAAATGTGAGAGTGAAATTCTCAAAATAGTCAATTACACCTCAATAAAAAAATTATCGAAATTATATCTTGCTAAGATTGGAAGAATCTTTAGCTTGTTCCCATCTACTTTTCCATTTGTACATCTCAGACATACTTAACACAAAGAGATTCAAGTAGTAAAATCTTGTTTTCTCAATTCCTGATACATGTTCCAAACATAAAAAGTCTTTCACTGACTTTCATAGAGTACCACTCTAAATTGAGATAGGCTTATCTTCTTTAGAAATATCCTTTAAAAATTTTTTTTAAATATCATGGGAAAATGGTCACAGTATATCAAGTTAAAAAGGGCTTGGCACAAGGTAGGTGTTCAATAAATGTGTTGAATATATGAACTCTAATTTTTTTCATGATAATATGACGGCTTTATTCATTCAAATCTAAGTTTTAGAATGATTAAAACACTCATAATTATTTTCAATGACCTCCATATTAACTAAATTATTTGGTATATAAAATATATTTTAAAACAAGCTTCGTAGTTTTTAAAAAAACGCAGATGGTTCTAGGTTAGTGGTTCTTAGCTGTTTCTCCTTGCTGAGTCATCTGAATAACTTCATAACCTTCTGGCAGACAGCCAAGACTCTTGCCTTGACAGTCTTCACTATTAAGCACATTCTCAAACAAACCATCTTTATCTGTTCTCTGGCATTACTAGTTTTACATATAATCTCAAACTTACAGAAAACTTGCTAGTTCAAACAAATTTTTTTTCCTGAAATATTTGAAAGTTGCCAACATGATGCCTCATAACCCCAGAAACTGTACTTCCTATAAACGAGACATACAATTGTACGTATGTCTTCCCACAAATGAGGCAGTTCTAAGGAACCACAATACCACTATAAAAATCAGGAAATGAACAATGATCCATTATCATCATTTAATCTTCAGACCTCATTCAAGTTCCCCAGCTGTCCCGATAATGTTTTTAAGAGAAAAAGGATCCTGTCTAGAATCAAGGAGTACATTCTGTTCTAATGTGTCTTTAGTCTCCTCAGTCTGGAACAGTTCTTCAGACTCTTCTGGCTTTTACTACCTTGACCCCTTACTCTAGTTATACTGGTCTCCAAGCCATAGAGAACCTTGTACCTGCTGTTCTGTCCGGAATGATTCTCTCATATAGCCCCATAATGAGTTCCTTCACTTCTTCAAGTCCTTCCTCAAAAATCACCTTCTTAGTGAGGCTTTCCTTGACTTGACTTAAAATTTCTACAGCCCCTGTTGACATCTCATGTCCCCCTTCTGTTTCTTCTCATTATCTAACATGCTATATATTTATTTCACTTTTGTTACTATTTGCCTCACTCATTAGAGTGCATCAAAGCATGGATTTTCCCGTTTTATTCACTACTGTATTTCCTGTTCCTAGAGCAGTCTGAGAATATAAATGCTTGACAAATACTTGTTGGATGAATAAATAAACCGTTAAAGCACATGATTTTTGACCTAAAAATAAAATTATAAACATGAGCAGTACAGAAATAAAAGGACAGAAGCTGGGAAGTGGAAGAGGGAGGAGAGAGGTAAAAGAACAGAAAAGAGGGCTGTTGATTATAAGTCCTCTACAATTTGAATTTTAAATCACGCCTAATGTTAATCTAATAACATTTCACAACTTTAAATCTACTCAACTCTATGTAAAACATTTTTATTGTGACACTCTGTGTAATTAGGGTCACTAACGATGATACTTACATTAGGAAGGCTATGGTTGCTATAACACCACAGGCATGGTATGAATGGTTGAAGTCCTGCATAGTGGGGTAAATGACAGCTGCATCTATGATAATCCACCAGCCTGTAAAAAACTAAAAGAAACAAACAACAGAAGTTGATACCAATGAGAAATTACAGTAATTTCATATCTTACTAGCTAAAAAGAAAGCAAGGTATCTAAGTGAAGCGATACTTTCTAATGAATTTCAAAAATTTTGTCAGTGTTCCATCAGTTTCTTACATTTAATTTATGCATGGCTTAATAACTGATTAAATATCAGATGCCCTTAAAAAATATTAGATACCCTGAAGTCTGATAGCAACTATTATTTACTAATGTGAACTTTTTTCCTAAGTCTACTTCAATCATTATTTTATATGGTCATAATAAAATCTGTAATCCAATTTTGTGAAGTAGAAATAAGTTACAATATCCCATGACAGGAGGAAAGAAAAAAGTGATTCAGGTTTCAACTGAGGAAAGGAGTGGCTTGTTGCTGATATATACGTGTATTGAAAAGTTAAAAAAAAAATCAACATGGGGGGATAATTATTGTTGATAGAAGTCCAGCTCTCCTCTTGATGTTGTGAAATAAGACATGGCCGCAGTTCTGCTTTTCCTTTTGACAAATTACAATGCAGTCTGCAGATGGTTTCAGGTGTGATGCTAAATTCAGTTTAAATGCCAAATTATAATTTATCTTAACTGAATCTGGTTCCGGATATTATCAAGGGTAAATCTATAATGAAAAACACATTCAACTGCACAAATGTTTTTTATCGTCTGAGCGAAAACTTACAAAAAGATTTTAAACAAATTCTGACAAGTAGCTTAGAAAGTTTTGAAAGTAACCCCTTTCTTTACCGCCACTCCTTACCCTGACCCAGTTAGCTCTAGACGTACCATCTTCTGACAATTATTTAAAAATAACGATTTTAGGCTAATCAAATTATTTTTGTGAGGTTATAGACAGATCCATACTTTATGACATTTTTACTACCTAGCACAAATAGTCATTTACTTTCTTTTTATTATGGTGACATTGATGAATGAAATCCACTAAGTTTCAGCTGTACAATTTAGCAGTAAGGTGTATATATGCACACACACACATGCATACACACATATACATATATAAATATTGCATTGTGTGTTCACTGTTCATGGTTAGATTTCTTTCTGTCACCACATATTTGACCCCTTTTGCCCCATCTACCTCCTCCCTCCTCCTACATTCACTATTTTTTAATCCTCAGCTTAATATATTCAAGATATTTACTTTCCTCACAGACTAAAATTCAAAACTTTTTTTATGTTTATAAGAGCAGAATTCTACAGTAGTTTTATATTTGATCATTATTTGGAAAAATATAGGCTAAATAAGAATTTTATACTATAAGTTACTTCTAAATAACATATTTAAATCAGTTTCCTGGTTTGTTTTTTTTAACAAGACTGAGAAAGTTAACTCCAAATTATGGAAAAATGCAATGATGTCTCTGGCCTGGTTTTGACCTAATTGTTTCTTAAATATTTCCTGGTAACTTAATTTACTTGTTAAGAGGAGGCAAAATCCATATAGTGAATAAATGTATAAAATACACTGTCTTATACCATTTTTACCATGCAGTTAAAGAAAAATAATCAATCTACTAATCAAATTTAAAACGGTAATTTCAACTAAGAGTTGGAATGTAATGAATAACTCAACCCCCTCATAAATAAAACAAAATGCCAACATTTATTAAAATAAATTCAGTGGTCAAAGATAAAATAAATAGTATATATTTTAAAACATACAGAATCAAAAACATAAAAACAAAAAACCACAATAATGAAGGCCCAAATTATGACACTTACGAGAACACCAGCAGCAATGGAAGCAATTGTATTGCGTTTTTCCCCCCAATCAATGCATTCTGAGCATCTCAAACCTTCTAGAAATCCAGACATTTTTCAGGTCACTTAAAAAAACAAACAAAAATTAAATAAAGTACTTCTATTTCCTAGCTTCAAACTTGACTTATGTTCTTAGAAATTATTTAACAGTTCAGGAATAATTTAATGAAAGTGAAGTTACAAATACAATTGACCCTTGAACAACAAAGGGGTTTAGGGGTGCCCAACTCCCACAGAGGAAAATCTATATAACTTTTGACTCCCCAAAAGCTTAACTACAATCATTTGATATCCGTGAGAGATTGGTTCCAGGACCCCTGCAGATACCAAAATCCAAGGATGCTCAAGTCTCTTATATAAAATGGTGCAGAATAATTGATACAATCTGTGGATTCCAGGGATGGGAAACCTGGAGATGCAAAACGCAGGGATACTGATGGCGGACTGTGTATTTATTGAAAAAATCTGTGTATAAGTAGCCCTGCCAGTTCAAACCTGTGTTGTTCAAAGGTAAACCGTACTTCAGTTTGGGTATGTATACTTTTTTAGAATATTTGATTTAGCGTCCGATAAATTTCTACATTATAACTTTGGGAAACAACATTTGGATTCCTTTAGTATTTTTCTTAATTTAAAAGATGGCTTCGGCTTGCAATTATAAAATAAATATGTCCTGGGGATGTAACGTACAGCAGGGTGACTATAGTGAATAATAAATATTGTATTGGATATTTGAAAGTTGCTGAGAGTATATCTTGAAAGTTCTCATGAAAAGAAAAAAAGCTGTATGTGTGGTGATGGATATTAGAGTTACTGTGATCATTTCGCAATATATAAGCATATCCAATCATGTTGTACATGTCAAGTATATCTCAATGAAAATAAATAAAAGGTGGTTTTGGTACATTTAAGTAATATGAACAAAGATAGGTATCCAAATATTTAACATTTTAATAGTAATTATTAATTTTAAATCCAGACGAAGTTATTATATGATTTTGTTGTTTATAGTCCAGGAGCACTAACATAATGGAGACAAGTGATAAACTGGCTCTGAGTTAAAGCATGCACTCAGATGAAAAATATTTCTCTTAGGAATTTATACATTTTATTAGAGAACATGTGTTTCTTCACACTCAGATTAATAGACTGAACAATGCACTGCAGGTCTTAACCGCTGCCCACATCACTTCCTTTCACTTCATTATTTTTTCTTTCTCCAAGCCTGGCTTTTGGTATCATTTCTACGTAAACAATCATTTCATTTTAATATCTCTATCTCTGATTCTAACAGAGGTTTCAAACTCAAGAGCACAAAACCGAAATTAATGTTAATTCAGACAAAAGAAAAAAAAGAAAAAAAACCCAAGCTAAATGACCATAGATAAAATTAACAGGGCCAACCTAAAATGTCTTAAGTTTCATAAAACATTCCTCCAGGATAAGCTGTACAAACCTAGCTTGAGACATAGCCATATTATCTATTTCAGAATATGAAAAAGCCAGAATTACGCATAATTTGCTAATCAAGAAACACCCAAACTCCTACAGCGAACATGAACCCGTCCGTTGTTACTCTGTAGCCAGCAATCATAATTGTCCGAAAACATGACATCCTATAAAGGAGCAATGAATGCAGCTGTAACCTTCTTTATAAAATTAAGTAATAAAAACTGTGATTACAACCAGTGCTAATTCTCCTTTAAGGCAAATTTAATTTTGAAAATTCACTCGTTTTATTCTTCCCTGTGAAGAATAGCATTCCAGTATGTCTTACTTTCGTTTCATCCCTATGACCCCGCCCCGAATCCATTTTCCTTTGCTGTATTACTGGCACACTCGTGCCCAAATTCTGCCCTCCAGATTCTGGGAATTCTAGGCGTAGAACGTGGACTGGGATTTGGAGGATCTGGGAACTAGCTCTAGCTTGGCCACCTCCCTCGCCGTGTGAACCTGCCTGGTCTGTTTCTCCAGCTCTAAAGTAGGAGGAGCAAGGTGATTTTGCAGAGATCCTTAGAGTCCCAGGGAAGGGCGCGGTCCGGCAGCCTGGCGGAGTCCAGACGCTGTCGCCGTCTCCCGCCGCCTGCCGGACACAGGTCCGGAGGAAGTGGCCAGGAAGGGTCCAGCGAGGCGCAGCCCAGTATGCAGCTTCTCAGAGGTGGAGGCAACGACCCCGTCAGCATCAGCCAGGCAGAGTCCCAGGTCCAAGCACTATTCGGCCCACGGCGGTTCCTCCCCTTCCCCCACTCCCTCCTGGCACTTACGTCCAGCCCCGCCCGTGCAGTGGTCCGAAGCCCGGTGTAGCGCGGCAGTGGGAACCCTCAAGCTCCCAGTTTCAGCCAAGAAAACAAAACAACCCCAGGCCACCGGATGCCCGGATGAAGCAGCACCGCCCCCGAAGCTCGGTCGCGCCTGCGGAGACAGGGACGGAGGGAGGGGCGCGCGATAGGAGGAGAAAGGGCGGGGGGAGGGCCAGAGGGAGGCACGCTCACCGCGCGGAGTCTCTGCGCATGCTCGGGGAGCCAGCTGCACGGGCTCTCCGCTGCCCAGACGCAGCTGTGCATGGGGAGAGGTAGTTTGAGTACACTTTTCAAAGGTGGGTGAGAGAAGTCGCTCTGTGTCCTAAGTTATTGAAAGGTAGGCGTCTTTTGGGCTTTTGTAATCGTCTTGAGTGAGGTGGTAAGTTTTCTAGTGCTGGGGTCGGTCTCACAGTTATCTCAGGTGTAGGTGGCAGGAAAAGTGCCCGGCTCCGCGCGCTGCAAAAGGCGGGGTGCAGGTTTGCGGCCCCGCCCCCCAGCCCTAATCATGGTTTCTAAGTCTGTTTGTTTTCCCAGAGCCTGGCCCCGCCCTCGCCGAAGCTCCGCCTCTAAGAGGAGCTATTTCAGAGTATAAAATTTGTGAATTTAACTTTAAATTTAACTGTGAATATTGTGACCATGTTTTCTGAGTCACTCCCGGGAGGTGGAGACGTCCTGGTTCTTCGTGCGGGGTACTGTGCGTCCCTAACCCCAACTCCATGACCTACTTCTGGGATTTGACCTTTTTTCCCCTTTGCTTTAAGGCAGGGTTTCTCAGCATAGACACTATTGACATTTAGCGTCAAATAATTCTTTTTATGGGGGTATGTTCTGTGCGCTGTGGGATGTTTATCTGCATGCCCAGCCTCACTCAGTGCCAAGTGTCGTTCCTCCAGTTGTGACAACCAGAAATGTCTCCAGACTGCCAAATAGCCCCTCACGGGGTAAATCATCCTGGTAAGAACCTCTGCTTATGAGGTAATCAGGGTTTTGGGAAGTGACCCTTTTCAAAAGATGGAAGCAACGATGTCTTATCCACATGAACAACTTGTGGCCGGCTCGCCCTCAATTCCAGAAGCTCTCAGTTCCGTTCCAGCTTCTCCAGTCGGTGGTCGTCCGGGGATCAGATCCTGTCTCGTTCCAGAAGGCGCCAGCAGAAAAGGTCCAAGCGCCACTTGCGGTCTCAACTCGCGGAGCCAGTCGCGATCCCGCAGCAGGTCTTGCTCTCGGGAAAGTCGTATAACAGAAGGACCAACACAATCACGAGGGGGCGACAGTATTACGGCTTTAACTCTATGGCGTACAAGAAAGAACACAATAGTTGGAGGAAGGGATCCAGGAAGAGGTCTGGGAGCAGAAGCCCATTTCGCTCAAGTAAAAATGGTGGGTAGGTCGGTCAGTTATTTTTCGTTAAGAGAGGCACACAGGCACATAGGTTCACCTTTTCTACATATAGGGTAATATGAGTAAGCTAAGGAACCAAAGTTGTTGGGTCGTTTAATTTCTTTGATTTCCTTTGATGCATGAAATCTCTGTAACCGGGTTGGAGGGGGTTAACTGACTGGTAAACAAAACTTCTGTACAATCTATAGCCTATTTATTTATTTATTTAGAAATTGTTGACATTTCGATCTGTTTACTTTTAGCTCCCATCCTTCTGATGGTTTAGACTGTTTTCAAATGGACATCATTCTCACCCCTTAGAATTAAAAGTTCATTGTGATTGTTAAATGTCTCAAGGTGTAAAATAAAATTTTTAAAAAGTCTCAAGGTGGAGGAATCTAGTGTAGGCAATTCTTAATGGAACCCTTTTAATACCTATTAATGACTTAATGTTCGTTTACCAGCTTTGAGCACCATTTAACAAATCTTGCCTTCAGCTTCTAATAAGTTAACTAACTGAAGACTGTGGAGGAAGAACAATATTAACATTCTGTTTTTATTTTCTGTCTTCAGCCTTTTTACATACATTTGCATTAACGATTGTCAAATATTTTATAAATATAAGTGAGCATTTTCATATTACTATTATAATGAAGTACATGCTAATTTGTCATTCTTAGCCCTTTTGGAGTATGCCATGGAATTAATGGTTTTGTTTTTGTCCTTTGTAGATAAGATGGAACTGTTAGAAATAGCAAAAACTAGTGCAGCTAAATCCTTAGGAATAGTCTACCTTGACTTACCAGCTAGTCTCAGAACTGTTCCTGTAGCTAAAAAAAAGAAACCATGTATCAGCTGTACCAAATACTGCAAAGTTTGAGGTAAGCCAGATTTTTCCAAATAAAATATCCAGAAAAACTACTGCCAGAAAGATCTAGTTAGCCATTTATTTTTATTTGATTTACCTTAGACTACTCTTCTCAGAAAGTGTAGCTAAATATAATTGTTAAATTCAAAATAACAGATCTGAAAATACTAGACAGGCTCTCACTTATGAAAATGGGACGATAACAAACTTAATTTTTGGTGACCCTGAAAGTCTCATGTTCCAACAAACCCCTCCTGGACAAAAAAAGTCTGGTTTTCAGCAATGAGTGCCAGAGATTGGGGGAGGGGATACAAAACCCATATTATGGCCCCTGAAAAAAGAGGTGGAAGACAACACCAGTTTTAATGGCAATTGTCTGCTTTCCATTGATCACTGATATTGGCAACTCTGATGTGTGATTCACAGTAACAAATCCATTGTAGTATTCTTTCAGAGCAACTTAAGTTCTAATCATCAGTGTTAACAATTAACTGTTGTGCTTTGTATGGAGCTATTGCGAGTTTAATTTTTAACTTTGTGAATATTATGACCATATTTTCTAAGGGTTCACATAATGAAAATGGAAGGAGATAGACTCCTTAGATATATGCCTACAAGATGGCTGTCATTGTTACCAGCCATAGAAAAGATGTTAAAATGTTGGCTTGCGCTAAAATTCTATTTTCAAAGTGTGGGAAAAGAGAATGTCCTTCTCTAATTGGGAATACATTGAGTGTGAGAATGGAGAAAAAGATTACAGTACAACAGAAATTTATATGCCCTTTCTCCAGAACTGCTTGATGATCTTTGAAGAGGCCATAAGGAGCCTAAAAAAGATAAACTGTCTGCACTGGAGTTATTTGATTTTATGTGCAGGTTGTGACAAAAACTCATACAGCGAAAAATGACTCACTTTTTGGAATGAAGACTGCTTTAAAACTGAAAAAAGTGTCACCAGAAAAAGGCACCCAAGTTAAACAGGACTTTCTCAATTTCTTTACTAGAACTATAACTTTTTTGGAATCCAATTTTGATTTCACAAGGTCAAATTATCTCTGTGCTTTAAAACCATTTTCTCTGAGAAAGAAAGGTTTAACTTACAGTGACATCCAGTGTGCTTCAGAATGTTTAAAAATGATGGACATTTTAGACATGGATAACCTCTATGATGAATTTATAGGTGCAAAAGACCTGATCGACAAACAGCTGTTCTATCAAAACAAGCCTGTAGATAAAAAAATGGATGGACATCTTTGGAGAGCTGAAAATGAATTCCCACAAGTCTAAAAACCTGCCATTGCTAGTAAGCAAAATCTTAAGTATTCCATGCTCAAATGTTTTTGTTGAGAGGATATTTAGATTGATGTCATCACATTGGACTGACACTGGTAATCAGTGTAATGTGGGCTTGCTAAGTCAAGGAGAATTTTACATTTGACTGTATTCAGTTTTACTACTACCTAAAAGAAAAGGATATCCTAAAGGCTGCAGACAGTTCAGAGAAGTATTATTGGGAAAGGAAACAGAACAAAAGTCCCCTACTGTATCATGAGAATGAAAGAAACATGCTATTGTTATTTTTTAATAAATATAAGCACTGTCTGTTTAGATAATCTTATTGTGTTATGTTCTTTTACAGTCTTATCTTTTTACATCTTAAGAATATAGAATAATGTAGCCTATACAATTTAAATATTCAATAATTTTTAAAAGTTAACTTCTGTATCAGAGGACAGAAATACATAAAAATACTGTTACGTATTTCTCATATATTATTTGTTTTTTATTACTAATTGTCATTGTTATCTAGTCCTACTTTTTTTGAATAATAGCATTTATGTAAGTGAAAGGTGAATAACAACATATTTTGAAGTATATAAACACCTGTCTTGTAAACACTTCTCATGTTTTTATGTTAAAGTAATAACGTTTATGTATAATTATTATCTATTATATTATGGTATGTGTGTTTTGTTGTTTTGTTTTGTTTTTGGTCTGTTATGACTTTGTTCCAGATTGGCTTTACCTATGATCAGTCATTTTATTCTTCTTAACTATGGTATATTGGTCCCTGTTTTAAGTTGATTTTCTTTGGGTACTTTCCCCCGACAATTACCAAATATCCTTGACTAAAGAAAAACACCAAACAATCACTTTTGGCTGAGGGGATGAGAAAGGGCCTTGTAGGCTGAATTGGGTCTGTTAAGAGAAAATAAATGGAGTCTAAGCTTAAAAATTCCTTGAGCAGACAAAACCAGTTAGGCCATATAAGTGAAACTTAATTTAGATGATTTCTTGTAATTGCCTCTGATAATCATAAATGAAACATATTATCTTTCTAAAATAGCATAAGATAATCACTTTTATCAATCCTTTACTGTTGGAAACCCCCGTTGTAGTAACCATTGTAATCATCGTGAAGGTTAAAACCTTTCTCAGTCTCACGTTATAAACCATCCTGTAATGATGTGCCTCTGAACATCTTGCCATTTTTAGTCTGAGGTCTCCCAGTTTATGAACCTTTCTTTTGTACACATGAAAAACTCAAATTTTAATTTGATCTGATTTCATCTTTGACAGTTTTTGGTGTCAGAAGTGGGATCTGAAGACAACCCCCTGATGAGCCCCGAGGCCAGTGAGTAACTAGGTGCAAGTACCTACCAAGCTCATTGTGGTCACTCTTTTCTCATCGACCACGGGGTTTTAGGGTAAGTCTCTTGGGTCTGATCTCTGCTCTCTTTGTGTTTTGAGCTCTCTGACTTGATTGTGCATACCTGTGTTTTGTTGAAGCTTCTTGGTCACCTCTTGGTCTGTAAGGAGAAATTTCCCATGATTCCCTGTGTTTCTAGACAGAGGTAAAATTATTGGCTGTCTATAGATAGTTATTTTAGAAAATCTAAAGACAAACATGAGTTTAGTCTAAAACTGATCCAAAACTCTGCACCTCTCTCAAAAATTCCTGTTTCCTGTATGTATACCCACTAAGGACAGGATCTTGTCCCTTTTTTAAAAAATGGTTGCACTCTATAAAGGATAGCTTGGAATTACAGAGACTATTTTGGGAAAACTTGAACTTAGATAAGATTGTCCACCTTAGGGAAACTTGAGAAAAGAGATGATCCTGAACCTTTCAAAAATAACGGAATGCATTCTTTCATGGGTATGGAGGCCTCCGAAAGACAAAATGACTCTAAAATAGCCTCTCTAAAATCATTACAATGAATCAATGAAAAATTAAGACTAAAGCTCTGAGTGACATGAATGATTCAAGGGACCACCAACTAATCCCTCTGCTCCTCTTTATCTTTTACCTGATTATTCTGAATCCGCTAACCTTTTTGATTTTTTTTCTCCATCCCCTTCCCCAACTCTCTAAATAATCAGATACCCTTTAAGGTAAGACCTTCTAATGAACCAGGCATTCTAGCCTCAGCTGAATTTAAATCTGGTCTTGAGCCAAGCTTCGAGCTATTATAATTATTTTTTTCAGAACCTAAAATTGTTCTAAGACTAAATTTATAGAAGAATTTAAAATTCTTCTTGATGCCTATGATCCTAGACTTCCTGATATGTACCAGTTTGTTCATATGATATGGAGTCCAGGAAATGCTAAAAAATGACTTCAAGACCCTGTCAAAGATTCAAGACCCCACCAAACATGTCTCCAGGTGTAGAATATAAAAAGGAAGAAAAATAAGTCAATGGCTTATTGAAGCAATTCCTAAAGTTTTTCATATGAGAATTGACTGGGCCATAATACAATCCTGTAAACGACAAAAAGGGATGAACCAGTGGTAGATATCTTGAGTTTGTTTAGAAGTGGTATTTAGACAGTGCTCTTGTCTCAGAGACCTGGGGCCTGGTTTTGCAGGTTGCCCATTTTCTTAATGGGCTTCCCTCAGAACTGAATGATTGTTAAAGAAGAACAAGTTAGAATGGGAAATTACTCCTCTCCTGGAGCTTTAACATCTTGCCTAATGGTGTGAAAGAACAACAGAGCAGAAAAAAAGGCTATTAAGCAAATAAGCTCATGGCCTTACAATTGCAACAATTACAGGGATCTTGACCCAATTTTAGGAGATCCTCTCCCACTTTCACATTTTGCCCCTCTTGATAGACATACCTGTCAATATTGTAAACAGAAGGGACATTCAAAAGATAACTGCCCACTTTTAAATAGAGGGCCTATTAAACAATCCAGGAGCCCTATAAGAGAAAGCTCTCAACTCTTAGATAATTGTCAACAATGCAGGGCTCCAAAGAATTGCCCAGTAAACTACTTCCAATAATTCCTTTACATCAACACAGAAAAACTAAACTAAAATGGAAAAATTTGTCCCAGATTAGTGGATACCAGAACAACTCAGTCTACTTTAAAACCATGATACATGAAGAACTTCCTCAGAGTAATAAAAATATTTCAGTAGTGGGAGTTTCCAATCAAATTCACAGAGTTCCTTTATTGGAACCCATAACCGTTACACTTGGCCCTTTCTCTGAAAGTCATGCCTTTCTATTATGTGATATCTCCCTGTGAATCTCCAAGGTGGAGACCTGCTTTCTAAATTAGGAGGCCAAATAAAGTTTTCTTCAGGAGAAAGAATCTTAGAATTTCCAGAATCTCAGACACTGAAGAATTATGTGTTCTCTGAGCCCAAATTGATTGCTCTGACGAAAGGTCGAAATTCCATAAGTGTTTAGATGCTATGATCCCCCTGAAATCCCTAATATCCTAGATGCCTCTTCTTCCACAGATATGGAAAAAGTCGAAAGTACCACCAAACTCATTAAAATTCAGATCTGTCTAAACCACTTCCTAAGTTCTCTCAGTACCCCTTAAACCTGAACTATACAAGGGCTAACCCTTCCCACAGGAGATTTAGTAAGTCAGAGGCTTATTATTTCCTGTACCATTCCTTGCACTACTCCTCTATCTTGCCTATAAATAAACCCCATAGACGGGAATGGAGATCCTGTAAATAAGGAAAGAAGGAAGGTTATAATACTAATGTTTCTGGTGGTACCAAACTCAAATATTTTGTTGGGAGATATACCAACCGAATCCAAGTTGTTTACAGTTGTGGGCTTATGCTCTGCTTTCTTTAGCATCTGTGAGGCAAAAAGAGTCCTTATTTGCTTGTTTTTACTTAGAAAAATCAATAGTATACTTGAACAGTTAGTATATCAGGGATCTACCAAGGCACCCTTGTACTTTTCACAAGTTTTACATCAGGATTTAAACACTCTGCAATTACCTAGAAATTCTACCTTGATTTGATATGTAGATGATTTACTTCTTTGTTCCTTATCTAAAGAGAACTCAGGAGTTGATTCAACATACCTGTTGAAACAACTGGCTCATAAGAGGACTTAAGGCCTCTCAAGATAATCTTCAATTCTCACGAGAGATGGCTCATTATCTAGGTCATGACTTATCTGTAAAATGAATCTTTCTGTCTTCAGAAAGAATAAATACTATTCAAAATTATCCTAGATCTATGAGGATTCTTCAGGCTTATGAAATATTTTAGGTGCTGAGTCAATTTTTTCTTTATTGACTTCTCCACTTAGAACTGAAAATAGTGCCCAAGAACCTCTTTCTTGAGAAATGAAACATGAGGAAGCCTTTACTGAACTCAGATGGGCTTTATAAAATCCTCCTGTATTAGAGCTTCCCAACTATATTAAACCCTTTTACATTGTTCATCCAGGAGTCCTCACTCAAAAACGTGGAGGGACAATTAGACCTATAGCCTACAGATTAGAGCCTGCAGTTGGATCCAGTAGTGAGGGCATAGTAAAAATGTTTAAAAGTAGTACCTGTAGCCACTAAAATAGTGGAATCCTCCCCGGGACTCATTCAGGGAAATAATTGATATCTCCAGGTTATTTATATCTCATGCTATAGAAAGTTTACTAAATACTGAGCGTTTACAGCATTTCTGTCAGTAGACCAACATTTTATGAGATTCTGTTCCTAGTCTCCTTCAAACCTATACATTCTTTGCTGTAACTCTTTAAACCTTGCTACCTTCCTATGTTTACCCAACAAAGGAGAGACTCATAACTGTTGGTTTCTCAAAATTTGACTCCTAGATTAGATTTACAGGAAACCCTATTAGCCAATCTGGAATTAATACTCTATGTTGATAATTCCTAGGCAAAAAATTCTGCAGGGAAATATCAGGCTTGATATGCTGTTACTACTTAACATGAATTATTAGAAAGAGAAGTTCTTCCTCAACTTAATTGACCCAACCTGAAGAATTATTTGCCCTCACTTGAGCTTGTGAATTAACCAAAGGTAAAACCGTAAATAAGTTTACCCATAGGAGGTATGCTTTTGCAGTAGTTCTGCACTATTACTGCCTTCACAAGTTGCCCTCCCAGAAGTTGAAGCTCATGCAAATCAGACCATGAATATCGAGGAAATGCTATAGCCAACTTTCATGCTAAGACTGCCTGCAACTGGAGATTCCTAAGGTACCAAAGCTCTGTAATTTGAATGAACTCCATAAAGTTGATCCAAATCAGATCACTTATGATAACTTGTTTAACAAACTGAAAAAAAAAAGTGGCACCAAGCAGCCTGCAAATTTAATGTGAAAAAGAGATTGGGAGGTGCTGGATGGCTTCCTGGTAATTTCCAAATTTTTCAAATTACCACTTTTACAAGTGCTCTGTATGACTCTTCACCATGGGATTGACAAAATGATTCAAATTAAGAAAAACTGTTAGTAGTTCTAAGATAGTGAGAATTATCTGTAATCAATGTTTAACCTGCCAATCTCATTACCCGGGTGAGTCCATTAAAGTGGCTCCAGGAACTGCTCCCCTACCACCTGGACCATTGGAACATTTTCAGTTGGATTTTATTCATTTGTCTCTTTATATGGGCTATCAATATGTTCTTAACAATAGTATGCCTATTTTCTAGGTGGGTAGAAGCTTTTCCTTGTTGGAAAGGTGATGCCACCACTGTAGCAAAGAAAATATTAGAAAATGTTTTTCCCAAACCTAATATCAAGTGATAGAAATATTAACATTACCAGACAGGTTATAAAACAACTAAACAACATTATTCAAACATGGTGGCACTACCACCGTCCCTATCCTCGATCTTCAGGAAAGGCTGAATGTACTAGTAGCATTCTAAAGTTAAAACTGGTAAAATTAACTGAGACCGCATGGTTACATTGGCCTAAAGTGTTGCCTTTAGGCCAGTAAGATCAACACCCTTCAGAAAACATAAGCTGATACCTTATGAAATCATTAGTGAGCAACCCATGCCCTTAACGGTAGAACCCCAAGTTCTTCCAGCTCTTGCGAACTCAGTACTGAAAGGCTCTAATGCAGTATTCAAAAGCTTATTTCCAACAGGTCGAAGAGGCCTTCAGAGACCCTTCCCCTAATGAGGACTTTGTACCTCACACATTGTAACCTAGTGACGGTATTCAGGAAAATACATCAGTGAAAAACTGCACTTGAATCCTGATGGGATGCCACCCTGAACACGCCCGATCTCATCTGATCTCGGAATCTTGATGGGAAGGGCCTTATCAGTTTCTTTTAATCTCTTAGATAGCAATCAGATTACGGAGTGTGGAACCTTGGGTCCACGCCTTTAAACGAAGAAGAGCTCCCTCAGACCCTTGGACATGTCAACCCACAGCTGACTTAAAATTAAGGCTATCAGGGGAAAATTTTGCCCAGAAGCAACCGCATGATGTAGACATCTTTCCCAAGTTGGTGGAACAAGGCCAACGGCATCAAAACTAATATGCCTCTGTCATTGATTCTATTAAGCTTTACTGATGTTAAATGTAAACACTCCTTAGTAGACACTGTACAAAAAATTGCATCTGAGACTAATCGAGTAGAATGTTGGATATGTACCCGTATTGATGAAGAACTGACATGTTCTTACAGTTATATCCTGCTACCAAAACAGTTTGGTATCAATGCTATGGGATGTGGACATATCCCTAACGCCTAAATAACCAGTCCTCCCCAGTTGTATTTCCTATTCACGCTCAAATAAGAGAAAAATTTCCATTTTGCATTTTTAGTAATCATACTAATGGTCCCTCGGTCCCTCTTATCACTCCTCAATTGTGTAATGAAACTAGATTAAACTTTCTCAACAAAACCATACTAGGTCCTCCTCTACCTATTCTCATTACCAATCCTGTGACCCCAATAAAAATTCCCTAACTGGTTATTCCTTAATCCCTAATCCCATAACGAACTCTTCCTACTACCCACATTCAGTAATCGGAAGTGCTGCTTGCTCATGGTTCTTGAAAAAATCCTAGGTAACGAATGTACAAATTGTCCAAACCAAGAACATTCAAATTTAACTCTATCCCTTAGAGGTACGGTACTCTTTATCCAGTTCAACACTACCCTATTTCAGGAACTTTCCCCAAACTGGAATGGTCATGATGGATTAAGACTATTCTCAATATTCAAATACAAAAAATGATCTCTGCAAATGAAACCACCAGTCTTGGTTCACTTATTCATAAGATAAAGAACAGCTCATAAGACATCCATGAAGCACCAACGCTGTTTCTACATACAATACTGGATTCCATTCATTTGTCAGAGCATTAATTCCTCGTTTTGGTGTCTTTAGAAAAAGCTATATATTACATATAAATTTATGTTTATATGTATATATGTATATATGTATATGTGTGTGTGTGTGTGTGTGTATATATTAGCAACAGCTTTGTCAAACAATCTACCTGGAAATGTGACTCCACCTTCTGTGCCTCACTTGTACACTCCATTAATTGAGGGATTAGAATACCTCGCTTCAGTAGTCTTGCAAAAATAGATGAGTCTTAAGCACGCTAGCTGCCCAACAAAGGAGTGTGTATATGTTGTAATTGATGGAAAATGTTGTTTCTATGTTAATACATGAGCTCAGGAATTGTTACCCCAAGTGAAAAGATTGTAAAGATCATATGTGAAGTTTTCATCAAGTAGGCAATGCTTCATTCATTGATTGATTTATTTAGTTAAATCTTTGCTCCTGGGAATTATTGCTTTGGGGAATTTTTCATTCCTTGGCCATTTTTCTCATAATCATCATATTAGCCTCCCTAGTGTGTTGTATCCTCTCAAGAGTTTTAAATGCCTCTCAGCATCCACTCACACATCAAATGATATCCATCAGATTTAAACAGCTGGGAGAACTCAATGATCAACTGCCCATATCGACCATGACTATGCAACTGTCAGTAATAGCAACTGCATGACCATCTGTCCCAAGGACATCGACAGTGGTACCCAAGAGTATAACACTATATTTAAAAAATAACCTCTGAAAGGGTAGATAGAGGCTTGAAAAAGAACACTCAATTTTTTTTCTAGCTTCAGATGCCAGGGTACACAGTTTAAAAAAAAATCCATGTAGGTACAGAGCTCAGATCTTATGAGGTAAAAGACATAAGCAGAAGAAACAATGACCAAAGTATATAATAAAATATAGGTATAGGCAATTAGAGAATGAGGGCGACTCAAGCTACTAATAGTGTGAGGTGTGAATCTTCCCTTGTAGTAAACACAATTCAAGGAAAGTTAAAAACAGTACTCTTGTCTTTAGTGAACAAAGGAAGTCATTAAAAGCTCTGTCTTTAGAGCTAGACACACCTGGGTTTAATGCCTTGCTTGGGTACCAACTAGGTCTATAATATTGACCAAGTCTTACCACCGCTCCTCCCCACACACACATAAGCACAGTTTCACTATTTTTTGCATTCGTATATATTTGTTACAATTAATGAACTAATATTGATACATTATTATTACATAAATTTCACAGTTTATTCAGATTTCCTTAGTTTTCACCTAATGTCTTTTTTTCTGTTCTAAGATCCTATTCAGAATACCACGTTACATTTAGTTGTCATGGCTCCTTCGTCTCTTGGTAGTGACAGTTTCTCAGACTTTCCTTGTTTTTGATGACGTGGACAGAACTGAGAAGTACTGGTCAAGAATATTGTAAGTGTTGGTTACCATTTGCATGTAACATTTCATGATTAAAAATTGCTGTTTGATTGTGATAACACCTCTTGGGCCTACCTTAAAGCACACACATATACACATAACATGCTGTTGCTTTAGTGCAAGCAGCATCATTTCTCACTCTAATCACTGCAGTTGTCTCTCTGCTTCATCTTGGGCCTTCCTCACTATTTCTCCATGCAGCAGGCCATAGAGAGGCTTGAAAATATAAATCAGATTCTATTACATCTGTTCTCCAAACGCTTCAGTGGCTTCTCATCTTGTAGAATAAAATCCTACAAGACCCTTCATGCTCTAGCTCCTGGCCACCTCATCAATATCATCACTTAGCTTTCTCCCCCTGGCTCACTGCTATGTCACACTGGCTTCCTTGTCAGTCTTCTCTAGCTGGAACATTCATCCTCTACATGTCCACATGGCTGGCTTCACTCCTTTCAAGTCTCTGATCAGACGTCCTCTCTTAAGAGAGGCTTTCCCTCACACCCTATGTTGCATAGCAGCCTCCCCCACAAGTGTCCTTTTTCTCCTTAGCTTTGTTTTAATTCAAAATATTTATCACTGCTTACCATTACATTCTATGTCTGTTTGTTTATTGTCTGTCTCTTCCTTTAGAAAACAAGTTTCATACGGCCAGGCACTTTATCCAGTTTGTTTATTCCTGTATCTTAGGCTCAAAGTTAACACTCAATAAATGTTGGTTAACTAAGTGAATTAATAAAATACTGTTTTTTGTTTTTTGTTCTTTTAACAAGTTAGATTAGCAGATAAGATGGTTAACAACCTGGGACTCTTAATGTCTTTGAGTTTTCTAAATTTCTAGGGGCTATGGTTCACTCATGGATAGATCCCTAGAATCTGGGACAATTCCTGGAATATACCGAGCACTCAGTAAATATATCTATATTGTAATTAATTGGAATGGAATTGAAAATATGGGAAATAAGGAATCACATTTTCTCAAAGGAAGTCTTTGTGATGGCAGCATATCTGAAAGGCCGCTGATTACAGTTTATGCACAAGGACAATAATCACAAATTAAAATTACCCTTATATAATGTCTATTAATAACTACTGTTATAGACTGAATTTTGTCCCCCCCAGTCACCAACCACTCCCTATATTGAAGCCCTAACCCCCAATATAACTTGGAGATAAAGCCTTTAAGGAAGTGATTAAGATTAAATGAGGTCATAAGGGTGGGACCCTAATGCTTTAGAACTGGTATCCTTATAAGAAGAAGAGACACCAGGAGCACGAGTGTCCATGTAAGGGCATAGTAAGAAGGCAGCTGTCCACAAGCCAGGAAGAGAGGTCTCACCAGAAGCCAACCCTGCCACCACCTTGATCTTGGACTTCCAGCCTCCAGAACTGTGAAAAAATAAATTTCTGTTGTTTAAGCCACTCAGTCTGATTTCAATCATTGTGAATGGTGTCACCGTAGAATGTGAAGGACAATGAGGAAGACACACATGCACACCCCTGTGTTTCAGAGGTGGCTTCAAATTCATTATGTACTATGGGGGGAAAAATTATGAAATTCAATCATATTTCATTTTTAAATAATAGATTGGTTCTCTTTCATTCAAATAATGCTTGCAATTTAAAAGTCCTGGAAAAAGTAAATTCATAATCAGATTTTATATGTGCAACTACATTTATATAAGTGAAACCTTGGTAATTTGACAGCTTATTCATTGTTTATTTTTTAAGTATTATGGAAGCAAAAAGAACTTTTGTCTGTCAGAATTTTCAATGAAAATAATACTTTGGCCAAGCCAAGATTCTCCACACTAATAACCTATATACAGCCATATTCAGTAACTGAATTGTGTTTATGCTTTTCTTAAGCAATCAAGTGTACATTTTGACCACATATCTATTAAGAATTATGCAAGAAAGCCTCATGTTCATTTGCCATACTCTGGCAAACAATATGACAAACAGCAATAGAAAAGAAAAAATCCTGGGGTGCATTTGTAATCAATACACAGAGCTGTGGCATGAACTTTCAGAAGAGCATTTAAATACTGCCACACACTGTCCGTCTGTGTGTCCTGCAGTCAAGTGACTATGCAGTTCTGCCCTTTGTCTCAGTAGAAGTCTGAATCACAAGCACAGTTCAAAAACCTGTTAATTCTCCGAAAGCACCAAATGGTCTTCAAAAAGGGAATTATAAAAATCTTAAGACTCTAATAGTATATTCTGTTTAAGACACCATGAAGCACATGATTATAGTTGTGACAGGGCAGTCTCTGTGAGCACAGTTTCCTGTTAAAAAAGTAGAGGCCCTACCAGAAAGATTTCATATATAGCGTGTTAAACTTAACATGTTTGAATTTTTTATTTTACAAGTCTCATAAAATTCTCTCTTTACTGGTGCTAATTTATGTGATGCTACATAGGACCAAGTTATCTAAAATAATTGATTTAAATAAAAGTATATCTGCCTCTTCCAAAAAACAGTGTAACATCCAGATTCCTGTAATATATTTCAAGGTAGTAATCATGTTTAATTTAGTTGTGGTTTTCTATAATTGGTAAAAGAAGATATTGAGAAAAATGTCATGGATAATTAAGCATAGTTCCAAATTTTAGAAATTTCTGGAGAATTAATACCAGCTCTTTAAGGAAGTTACCATTTACTTCTAGTTTCCTCTTTTCTGAAAATAATAAGTAAATGGACAGATTTAGAACTATTAGTCTTATTTATTCAGCAACATCATCTTCAAAATAAATAAAGGCACTAAAATAAAATCCTTGTTTATTCTAATTACCCTTGATCAGAAAAACAACTAGGATATGCTATTCTTAGCTCTTATCTGAAGTCCTTAATTTTAACAAAATTTAGTGTATGGTATTTTAAATTAACATGTAGCAATTGAAAAATCTCTTCTGTGTATGCAACATAAACTCAGTATTAACTATATTCTTTCAAATACTGAAAACCTCTAATATGAGATTGGATGCTCGAGAAAAAATAATATGGACTGGTCTCATTTTAAACTCATGATCTCTAACTTCAAGTGGCTCTGAGTGATACTTAGCTGTCCTACTATAGTCTAGTCAATTATATCCTAGATGAATATATTGCACCTCCTTTCTCTTCAGATCATCAGTATCTTCCTCAATGTCAGCTTCTTATTTCACTGGGAGGACAAATCATAAGAGGACATACACAAGTGCTTATCACCAAGCTATCAACCTACCTCTACCTGTACTCATGTTCTGCCTTCCTATCTGTCTTAGACTGTCTGGGCTACTATAACAAAATACCACAGACTGGGTGGCTCATAACAACAGAAATTTATTTCTCACAGTTCTGAAACCTGAAAGTCCAAGATCAGGTGTCAGCATGGTCAGGTTCCAGTTAAGGCCCTCCTCTGGGTTCTGGATGGTAGTCTTGTGATCTCACATGGTGGAAAGGGAAAAGATCTCTCTGAGGTCTCCTTTGTGTGGGCACTAATCCCAATCACGAGGGCCGCCCTCATGATCTAATCACCTCCCCAAGGTCCCACCTCCCAATACCATTACTTTAGAGGTGGACTTCAATATAGGAATTTGGGGAGGACACAAACACTCAGACCTTAGCACTACCTATTATATTGGGTAAACTGTTTATGCTCTCATGTAAGCCCAACTCTTCCATTCGTCCACTGGACCCATCCTCTCTTCTACTCAAGAACAGGGCTCTCACAAACTGTCCAATCTATTTTCTACATCAGTTTTCCCCTTCCTACTACATTTTGTCCATCAGTGTACAAATATGCTATAATGTATGCCATCTTTAAAAACAACAAAAAACAAAAAGCTTGATTTAACCAGCGCAATTGTTTGCTTTTCATCACAATGAGCTCCTTTAACCCTTTTCCTGTTTAGAAAAAAAAATGCAGCTTGCTACTAGCATTCTTTTAACATCATGCGTAGGAATGCTACATTTTCTAGGATTTGACATTTTCAGCGATCGAGAATTACTATATTTTGTAAATGGAAATACCACTACTAAAAACAATGCTATAAATAGAATGATGTCATTTGTTTCCAAAGACTTGATATACTAGAACGATGCAAAAATAATAATAAAAGCAAGATATTTCGTGGCAAATTTTGGGGGTAAGGACTGTAATTGCAAGTTATCTCCAGGGTAAATGCAGCTGCAAGCACCTGCTGGTGAGTATTCTTGAGGCAAATGGGAAATGAGTTAAATTCATACTCACTAGGATGACTATAATTAAAAAAAAATTTCTTTTTTAAGGGAAATAAAGTGTGGATGAGGATGTGGAGAAACTGGAACCTTCACACATTGCTGACAGGAATGTAAAATGGTGCAACCACTGTGGAAAACAGTTTGGCAATTATGCAAAAATGTAAACATAGGGTTATCAAATGGCCCAGCAATTCCACTTCTAGGTATGTACCTAAGAGAATCGAAGATGTGTTTACACAAAAACTTGTACATGGGCGTTCACAGCAACATTATTCATAATAGTCAAAAAGAAACAATCCAAATGTACATCAATAACTACAATGTGGCATATACATACAATGGAATATTATTCTGCCATGAAAAGGAATGAAGTACAGATACATGCTACAACATGGATGAACCTTGTAAATATCCTAAGTGAAAGAAGCTAGACACAAAAGACCAATTGTATGATTTCTTTTATTTTTTTTTTGTATAATTCCTTTTATGTTAAATGTTCATAATAGGCAAATCCATAGAGTCTCTCCTGTGATTAGGTTAGGAGAGATAATCTCATTTTAAGGTCCTTATTTTTAATTGCTTTGTAAAATTCCTTTTGTCTTGTAAGGTAACATATTAGCAAGTTCTGGGAATTAGGGTGTGGACATCTTTGGGGGCCATGAATCTGCTTACCAGAGGAAAGGACATAAAAAAGTAAATGGAGAAAAGTATCACATTCTTGAATGGGAAGATGTTCTTTGTAAAGATTTCATTTCTGTCTATATTAGCCTGCAAATTCTGTGCAAGATGCTTTAATGATAGCTGAAATTGGATTTTGACTCAGGTGAGTAGATAGATGCTCAGAGAAGATTGCACTGCTTAGAAAAATAAAGGAACACTGACATCCTTTGCAGAGTTTAACAGATTGCACATATTCTAGAAACAAATACACCAGTATTCTGCACAAGAACAAAATAATGCTTCCTGTTGTGTTTTCAATATTCTTACTGTTAACATCCAGGATTTTTCTAGTCGCCTTATTTTAGGCACATATTTGACCAAAGAATGAACTATCTACAGAGACTCCTAACATCCTTATTAGCAAAGGTTAAGATTGCATCATCTTATATGCATAGTTTCACATTATTTTGCCTAACACACCATTTTTACTAGTCAAATCTGAAACTCATTTTTTCTGTCCACTCATACAGTGCCCGGTAGATGGGCACTGTGTCTTCTCAGTTCAATTGGGATAGCATTTAGAAAAATGTTTCTAAAGAAACATTTCTTCACTTAACTATCGTGTTTTCTCTGATACTGTGGTTGATACTATGGACAGTGCCAAAGAAGGCTAACATGGTGGGTCGATTCTGTGATAAGGTTTTATTCCCTACCCTTCTGTGCATATTTGGGGAAGTGGTGGTGAAGACGAACAAGAGAAAAGTTTGTATTTCCCTCCAAAGAAAGTGGCTTTTGTAAAAATAACTTGATTGCAAAGAAGCTCAGGTAATGACTAACTCTCCCTACGGATGTGATTAGTTCATTCAATGAAGTTATTTCATGGCAATTGTCACGCTTTATTAACAACGAGGATGTCTGTAATGTATCCTATTTATAAATCCTTGTAAATAAAAGTCACTGTTATTTAATCCCCAATACCAAGCATTGTCCTCGGAATGACATCTCAGATTTCATCCTGATCCCTCGATTAAATTAAAAGTCAACTATGGGTGTCTTTGCATTGTCTCCACCTTTCTTCCACAGACTAGCCGAACATGGAAGTAAAAAATTTTTCTAAGTTAATACTGCATTTTCAGGGATCTTGTGACGCCCTGGGGAGGCGCGCAGTCCAGCAGCCTGGCGGAGTCCGGACGCGGCTTCTCTCTCCCGTAGCCGGCCTGACATAGAACAGGAGGAAGTGGCCAAGAAGGGTCTAGGGAGGCACAGGCCAGTTTGCAGCTGCCCAGAGGGTGGAGGCAACAACCCAGTCAGGATTAGCCTTGCAGAATGCCTGGGATCCCGACGAAGCACCGCACCGGGGTCACCTCACTCTCCACGTTCATCTGAGAAAACAAAACCGTCACAGAGAGCCAGATACCCGGATGGAGCAGCACCGCCCTCACGGCTGGGTCACGCATGCGCATCCTAGAGGCCTTTGCGACAGGCT